TACAGCAGTTGTGAGGCTCAATTGTTATCCTAGGCTAGAGTGAATAGTTAACGTGTGATGTATAGCGCCACATAAATCAACGTGGCAAAGCTCAAGTAACGCTCATGAGACAACGTGATTGCATCTTTTTTAGAGAATCGGCAGCTCCCACGTAACGCGCTGAATACAAACCCAAGGTCGTTCGCTTGCTGCCTGCTGCCTGCTGCCTGCTGCCTGCTATCCATTCCCGGGCTTGTTTAGAGGCTGACTGAGCGGTGTAGGCTAATGGCCAGGTGGAGCGCTACATAATTCATTGAAACGAAGCTTTGCAGCCAGAGAGCTGGAAAGAGAAGGATTACAGAGCGAGGCTCATACCTCTACAGCCTTTATTGCAGGACGGTCACAGGAGAGAAATAAATTCCCGAAAAACAAATGAGATTTTTACTTTGGCTGCGCGTAAACGTCGCTGCATAGAGTTTGGTTTTGTATATGTGGCTGTGTGGAGCTGTGCGACCTTTTAACCTCACTGACGATGCAAGTCTTGTCCTTTTTATTTCGTCAATGTGCTTAAATCAAATCATTAATCTGCGCTAATTAGTTTGACCACCAGGGAGCTTCTTCATTAGCTGCAATGTGCTTTCTCATCAGGTCCTGTGGCTCTGCATCCTCTGCTGCTCTGGCTGAGTCTCATTGGTGAGGGTTGAGGAGAACACGAGGTCAGGAGAGGTCGCGGGGGAGGGGGATGGAAGGTCACTAGAAGCCATTGCATTTTTATGGATGAAAGTCCGTTCTTGTCATGCAGCTATTCAAGCAGCTTCGGGTGCCTTGGTGACTACCAAAGATGTCGCCGTAAAAGCTGAAACGCAGTAAGACCGAGTGCAGTGAAAATCATCTCACCAATTCTTTCAATTCATTCTTCTTTTTCTCTTTGGCCTTCATTCATTCCTACGAGCTGTGAATGAGTCACTGCTTCTCGTGAATACAAAGGAACCGGCAGTGTGGAGGAGGCAGAGCGGAGACAACAGAGCAAAACTGGTCCCTGAAGGTTAGATGTAAGAGGGATGCTGCTGAGCAAGCTTTATCACTCAGTTACACAGCAGGATCAGTCACCGCAGACTGCACCCAAGCTTCTTCTTTTTTTCTTTTGCACTCCTTCTGTTTCTTGATGTTCGCTCTTTATTCTCACTCTCTGTCTCACATATTGTGACCATACATCACATTTGGTCAGATACTGAACTGGCAGCAGTAATCTTAGGCGCCTACCTTGCCCCAGCGTTTTAGAATTTGTAGCTTTTTTACAGCAACATTGATTTTTGAAGCATTGTTTACTTTTCTGGAGAATCATCTTCTTTTATTTTGCGTTTTTCTTTTTGCATTGATATACATATGATTAATACCTTCTTATTAAATTCCTTCGCAGCCTCTGCATGCACTACAAGTCTGGACGGACATGGGTGTAAACTCCTGCTTGACTGGTTGGCAGACAAATAAAACGGTTTCTTGCTTTACTGCCTTTCTCTTTCCGGATTATTGTTGAGTAAATCTCCTCTCTTCTCCTCTGCCTGACACTGCTGTGTCCATCTATCACAAACACTGGAGCTGAACTGCTAAATTGGTGTCAGTGAAGCCGTTTAAAACTCTAACCTCACTCCTCCGTCACTCTTACCCTTAATGCACCTTGCCTCCCTCCTTTCACACTTGCGGGTGAATGCACATTAGAGTTAATGTTTTTAAGATGCAGGGAGAGCTGACCTTGGATGCCGGTGAAGTCACTGAGTTGTAATTGAAACTGTGTGCTTCTTGTTGAGCTGTTTTTGGTGCTGGGGTGATTGTGTTTCCTGAGATTGTGTGGCTCAGATGATAATTTGTTGCTGATGTTGGATTCTGTTTGTGTATTTTAACATGTATGCGGTGTGATTACATTCTCAGTTTATATCTTTTGAGGCCTAGAAACCATGTAGGCTGAGCCATTACCTCAGCCTACATGAAAGTCAAACTGAATAACCACGTGGATGATTTAGATTCCGACTTTGTTTAACCTAAGAGTGATAAACCAGTAACTGCAATGCAGCGCTCGTAACGCGGTACCTCTACATGTGTAGAAAGCCACATCAAGTCTTAATATGTTGTCCTTCAGGTGCCGCTGGTGAAGGTCCATTGTGTAATTCAGTGAAATGAGCCTGTGGGCGCCATGCGTTCCTCATTGGCATGCACCCCTGCAGTCCACTGACGTCTGCCACCGCAGCATGTGTTGTGTGTGTGTTTGATGGAGCGCTGCTGCTGTGCCAGCATATTTCTCAATCCGATGCCTGTGCCCCGGTCGCCCTTCAGGCCGGATGCGGCCCTCCAATCCCTTCATCCCAACCTGCTGATCTAAACTATCTTGGCTCTATGCCAAGTGGGCAGGATAGGGCAACGACTAAGGTACAGTTTATGACCCGCCCTTTGTCCTTCAGTCAGGCACAACGGCGTTAACGTGATAGATGGAGTAGCAGGACAGACACAATCCCCCCCCAAAGGGGATAAAATATGGCTGTCGTAACCCGGACCCCCACGTATGACGAGGATTGAGTTTGGAGGGCAATCAAAGGACCATGCTTGGTGCTTAACTTTCGCATGACAAGATGCTGGTTGGATGCACCTGGTTTATTTGTGACTCAAGCCAGAAGGTGTTTAAACTGTGGTGTGTTATATTTGGGACAATGGAAAGGTCTATGAGACACTGGAACTATAACTAGTTATTTAGCTATACCCTTATACCGAGAAAGATTGCTAATGGAAGTTATGTACAGATTACAGTTGTCTGTATTTCCATGGAACGGATATAGTTTATTGACTAATGTAATGGGCAGTGAATAAAAAGATGATTTGTGGATTTTCTTTTCTTGGATATTTGAAATTTGGAAAATGGGTTAATTAATGCTTTGCAACCCAATCTTTGGGTTTGTCAAGCTTACAGTACTTGATAGTGACATTTAGAGTCTGTCTGATAGGAAGTTTTTAAGACAGATATTGATATTTAGTGAAGAAGAAGATCAGCCTGTAATATGGATCAGCAGATGAATCAGTGCGACTATGAGGGAGGATCGTGACGGGGGCAGGTAATTTGAATCTGCAGCAATCTATAAAATGGCGTTTACCTACACATTCACCCTTGTCTTTAAACTCCACTACATTTCCCAGAATTCATGTGTGGTTTTTGTGTGACATTTTTAATTTCACAAAAGCCAAGGCACAATAAGACCTCTTATTGTCCCTGCCAACTGTAATGAACTGTTTATTGTCTCCAGGTGCTAATATCCTGTTGCACTGTGTAAATGCTTTGACTGCGGCAGTGAATCGACTCTCCGGGCAGCAGGATATGAGAAACGACAAAGTGAAATGAGTTAAAAAGATCAAACGTGATAAAGGGAGAAAAAGGCAGGAGAAGCTTTAGGTGTCTGGAGAGGAAATTCTTCAGTTCATGTAGATTTTGTTGGAATAAAACTTGACAGATCTCCAGGCTCACCCACAACTTTGTTATACATTTTAATATATGTGTTATGTGGTTTTTTTTTTTTTAGATGTGTATAGGTTGTTTGTTTTCATAACATTTTTTAAAAATATATTTTTATAAAGAAACTTTGAGCGCAGAGAATTGCTGTCTTACATCTTGTGCTTACAAAAGTGTGTTGTTGGCAAGAGGAGGCTGTTGAGCAATGTTTTCCTCTCTTCTTCTTTTACTCAGTGCTTTTATTTAAGGGAGCCTTGATTTAATTAAGTTTTGATGAGGATTTGGGCTTTAGAAATACGCTTTTTTTTTTTTTTTGCTACTTTACTGGCCAAAATCCACAGAGGAAACGATGTCCAACAACACCCAAAGTGCTTGGATGAAAATATGAAGGTGCTATATGCAAATGTTGGCACGGCAGCTGAAACATTTGGTTAAACAGACTGAGATGAAATGGTGTTTGAGTTTCCATTCTGACAAAGGCGAGCTTACATGGTGGATAATGTGTGTGTGTGCGTGCGTGCGTGTTATGTAATCTGGCTGAGAAGACGCGTTCATTTGGTCTCAGAGATAGATTTGATATTTTGGGTGCTGGTGTGGACACACGGCACACCTGCTGCCTCTCCTGCTAAACACAGGCTCTGTCACAAACGGCAAACACCAGCATGTGTGAACACACAGTTCAGAGACGCAAATCAACAAATCTGAGCATTTCGGTAGGTGTGTGTGTGTGTGTGTGTGTGTGTGTGTGTGTGTG